AGGTAAACAATGCCTCATTATGAGAGAAAATATTTTCCTGCTGTCTTGAAGAGGCTACAGGCTCCCCATATCTTAAGAAAATCCCCCTGGATCCAACTGTGTGACACAACCATAATTTTTATTTTTAGTTAAGTTTCTTGAGGCTATGATGGGAAGACAGCAACAGAGCATATTAGAAGAAAGGGACTATTTGGATCCTTTTTGGACACTTTTTGAAATGATTTTAAAGACAGCTTTATGTGAAACAGTTTGTAGTAATCCATACATGTGATCTTGCAAGCATGACTTTTTTAGGTCCATCTGGTAAAACTGAAACTTGTATCTAAAGGGTACAGTTTCCACTAGCATTTCCAACATCTAGCAGTAGCTGGACTCTAGGACCACCTAGGAACACACAAAGGTTAGGGACCTGCTGTGTAAGGACAATCCCATCCTTTCAAGAATGCAATACCAGAGTTGACTGATTAATGTACAAACAGGAATTTCAAAAATTGTAGTTTGTACAAAAATGAAGTGATTCACATGCTAATTGGCATTAGTTAAGGCCCATGAATATACTATACCTATGCTGCAAGCCATGAATTGGCTGCCTGTAATTGAAAATGCTGATTTTTATTCCTAAAGCCCTATATAGCTTGGTGCCAAGATAACAGTGTTGGGTGCTACTGAAAATTGTTTCAGTCTAAATAAATACATAAGCATTCCTGTGTACAGATTATAAATTATAAAATCAAAACTACATGTGTTGTACTTGGTCCAATCCCTGCACCATTGTTATCCCTGATAGAAAAAGCATATTTATCTATGTTCAGATGTCTGTCACATGGGCTGAATGACAGTCTTTTTAGTATTCAACCTATCCCCTGTGTTCATTTAACATACAGTATCCCATATACAATATGATGCTGTTGCCACAGCTGCTATGATTTATCCTATAATAGCTACAGGATGGGATGAAGTTGAGATGCTAAATTATAGGTTTTCTGTGGAGAAGTAGTAGAAATGTCATATTAAGTTTTAGTTTTCTTAGTAGTCCCTGGTTTTATTGCATGAAACCATTAATGCACAAATGGGACCATACATATGAGTTCCACTAAATTATTTCCAGACTCTTTGGCTCTGTCTCTGACATCACTAAGTGTGAAGATTTGGAGAGAAACGTTGGAAGCATGCTTGGCTCATTAAAGTTCCTAATAATTTAGAAGGATTCTAAATGTGCTTGGTTGAAAATGTTTAACATCCCTTTGGGGCCTGCTTGTTCAATGTGAGGCAGTTCAGAATAGGGACAGCATCTGCAAAGACAATGAAGGAGGCCTTCAAGTGCAATTCAGTTCCTCCTACTTGGGTTCAGGCAATAATTCCTCAAAAGAGCTAGTGTGAAATCAATTAGCTAACAATGTGGCCTAAGATGAAACTATTAGTTTAGGATAATCTAAATCCTCTGTCTTGTTGCATGTAGCATTTCCTCTCCCCTTAATTTGTGTGCCATTCAAACACTGACTCTGCCAAGATGCCTGTGCTCTAATAAACTGTGAGGAAAGAATAAACCCACTGTGTTAATAATGAGACCAATTAAGAAATTAAGTCATCATTAGAGGAGTTCCACTGAGGAATCTGAGGGTAGTGTCTGGGATGGGTAAGGGGTTAAACCATAAACTACTAGCCTGTCCTTGAACAGAATAAACCATTGACAGCAGCACAACACTGAAACCATTTGTAAAGATTATAAAGCGTTCCAGTTGAAAATAACTCATCTTGTGATATACAGGAAATCTCCCCTCAAACAAAAACAAATGAAAAAACAGGACTTTCAGAAAGGTGAAATTATTTTCTAATTACAGAAGCAGAGAAAATATAACTAAAACAAAAATTACGAATATGACAAGGAGGTTGAAAGCTGTTGAGATGACAAACCAGTGATATCCATGGCAAGCTGCCAACAGATGTTATGCTCATTGAATATTTATGAAATAATTGTTACAAAAGCACCAGTTGTACAATTACATATTTAGAGACATAACATCTTGGTGCAACCCGAGAATATGGCATCTGGGACTGAAGACTGATTAAGATAGTAGTTTATGCCCTATATTGTTGATGAAAAGGAACATAGAAGTGTTAGCAGAAACGATCATACTAATGAGGGCTAAAAGGTTCCTGACATGGGAAAAAAGAGATTGATAATGAATGAACAGTGACAGAAATGTATTAATTTTTAATAGCTGTTGAGATGTGACATAAATGAGGCAGGATAATATCATGAACATTGTTTTTAAAAGCCATCCATTTGCATATCAAAGGAGGATATGTAATTTGTGTTTGCCAATGGCAAACGTATCCTCTGAACACATACCATTGTGTAGCCAGAATTACACCATCCTCATGGAAAAAAGAATTGAGTATCTTGGGAAACATCGTGACTTGCTGGTTGAAATGCTAAATAGGAATATTGGACATTGCAACATTTTGCACAGTTGTTATTGCCAGAATGGAAAATCATGTTTTTATGTGGTAGTTGTGTGTTTATATTGATATGGTGTATGACGTCATCAGAATGCTGATGATAACCAGCTGTATTTCTCTGCTATAGATTAACTGGGTGAGTCTTTCCCAAGCAAAGTTTTGTCCCGGAGCCTAGAGACTATGGATGGGCAAAACAATCACAATTATCAATTGTGGCAACACCAAATGACTGTGGGCTTTAATGCCAAGCAAATCCATAGGTTTTCCACCCTTAACTTTACCATGGCTCCTGTTTGAAGACCAGGTGGCAACCATGGTTATGAAGACCTTTGCCCAGTTTATCTTGCATACTAATTGTGCCCATTACTGGATGGGAGGTCTTGTTGACTCACATCTCAGTTGCCTCTCATTCATATTACTAGTTCAGAACACAGCAATGTAGACAGGTTTGGTATGTCCTGTAATACCAATACCATATTACCAGTCTGCTAGCTGCAATAACTTCCAGTGGGTTTCTGGGCTGTCCCAAGGTGCTGGCTATCACCAATAAAGTCTTAAATGGCATAGAGATAGATAATATTCCTACTTTTTTTTTAAAAAAAGAGACAATGGTAGAATTGCAATTATGTAAAAACATAAAAAGAGCCCTGGACTAGGTTGAATATAGCATTTAGTGTCACACAATAGCAAACCTAAGGCATTGAGAGAGGTCACAAAATGGAAGGGATGGTAACTTGAATTTATTATTGTTCCCTTGTATTTAAAGTATGCTTCCTATAATCATATATTATCATCAAGACCCCTAGTCATTGATACCTGATTCTCCATATTTTTATTCAGATCCTGTTAAAACATCTGCATTAATAATTATTACCACAGTTGTTGTTACAGTTTAAGAAATGGAACTATATCGAAGTATAGAAAAATTGCAGCACAAAAAAACGTTTGTTTTTCATTCATGAACAAAGATTGTGATGTATTTGAATGGCAAAATACATACATCTACAATATTAAACCTAACTTAAACAATTAAGATTTATTTCGTTGTACAAACCATATACGTAATACCTAAAATACCTTATACATAATGCCTAAAATAATTACCAAAAATATTGTAGCATCACAAACAACGTGGCTATTCCTCTACATAGAAAGAATTATTATAATTCTGAAAAATCTTATTACACTTTAAGTGACAGTTATGCAATTAAATCTCAATATGCAAAATAAATGCACAAGTTAACCTCAGTTATTTAAATATATTATTATTTTATTAATAATTTTAAATAGTAAATATTTTAATTACATAACACCATTATAATGCTATCAAGAAGGAATTGCTATGTTTAATGAGACTACACTATTCACTACTATTTATTCACTATTTATTTGGACTATATTTTAATGGACATAATTTCTACAAAAAGATTGTTTTCTTTTTCTATTCCACATCACTTCTCCCAAATCCATGACATTATCATAGGGAAAACATGGGCTACTTTCAGACACTATTATTTGTGTTAGTAAGCCAAATTTAAAATGCTTTCTTCTACATTATTGGATAACTAAAACAAAAACCAAATAAAAACACAGTATTTGCATTGAAAGTATAGCAATTAAAATTTCCACTGCAGCACCTGGCTGCAGTTTAATTTGGACTAATTTGAAATGCAAACAATGTACTTAAAGCATTTATTAAATTAAAAACAAATCCTGCTGAACAAAGAGAAATGAACATTGTACAAGAGTTGTTACACTAAACTTTAACACTAAAATAATTTATTGAATTAAATATTATTTAACTGCAACCATACTTAAAATTAAGAACTTGCTGTCCTAGAATTCTAATCCTAGAAAGCAAAATTTCTTTAATTCAAGCTTACTTTAAATTATTCAAATTAAAAAAGAAAAGAAAAAAGAGGGACCATATCTTTCAAAGGAAGAATACAAAAACAAACAAACAAGCAAACAAACCTAGAGAGAATGGAAGTACAGTAAATTTTAAAAATTTTAAATAGTGACAATAGCTTTGGGTACTCTAAATACTTGTCCCACAACATTCAAATTTATAAAGTTAATAGCAATGCTATTGAACCATATATTTCAAAGTTCTTAAATCAAAATGGTCTTATTGGTAGTTTTTACGTCTAAAATTAAACCATCAAAGTTATAAGTTATTTTCTTAGGGTTACAAAAGACGCAAACAGAAGTTGATGTTTCTCATCTTGAATATATATAACCTCTTCTTGTGATCATGATTTAAAACAAACAAATGACTAGTTTTAATAAATGAATTTTATAATGCATGTTTGACCATCTTAAAAATCAAATTATGGTCTATGAATGGATGGGAGACTGCAATTAACTAAATTTGAAACAAAACCCTCTGCTGAAGAGGATAGGTCTCGGTCTTGGAAGAAGTAAGGTTTATTTACATTGAGTTCAACCATGGTTTACGTTGATATATAGATAATGGCATAGACAACTCAGCTTTGATGAACTTTCTAAGTGCATATAAGCAAAGTTAATAGCCCTACCTTTTGTGTAGCTTTTATCACCTGATCCTTGGCATCCATCTTCATCATCACAGTCTCCACTGGATTCTGTCTCTTTGCTCATTCCATTCCCACTGCTGCCTTCCGTGTCAATCCAACTTTCGGACTGTAAACTTGTGTGGGCTGCCAGCTACAATGCAAAATATTGGCAAAAATATTCAGATTTCTAGGGGGGGAAATATAACTTTTTTTACCATTGCTCAGTTTTCCCACTGAAGTTAGAATTGGTAGTTTAATATAAATTATTAAAAGCAATATGAACCACTAAATGGAAGATAGAGCATTACTGATGAGTTTATTATTGAAACTCAAGGCATTTTATTAGACACATGTCCTCACACATAGTCTTATCTTGTAATATCAGTCTTTTGAGCATGTTGGTTCTTTTACAGCTATTAGATTTTATTTTCAATACCACTGATTCCAGAACATATCAATTGGCTATCAATTGCCATGTTTCCTATCTTTAGCTATTTACAAGTTTTTCATTCACATTGGATCTATATTACCTCCAGTAGCTGAAGCTCTATACCTCTTAAAAATACTTGCTGGAAAATAAAAGTTGGAAATTGCTATTGTGTTCAGGTCTTGAGGTTAGTAGTCTCTTAACAAGAGTTACTAGACTTCTGGCAATGTATCCTCAATTGTGACCTCATGTCCTCTGTTAGCAGGCATGGCCTTAAAACCAAATATCATCTGACTTTTTTATCTAACAAGCTTATTTCTTCCAGAACAGCTTTCTCCTGGTGTGGTGCTTTCCCAATAAGAGCTAACCACAAGTTAGGAAGCTATGCTCTCTGACCTTAATTAGTTGATTAGTGTTCTCCCACCAGTTTGTGCTGCTGTCCGAAATTGGCACAATCCTTATCAGTTACACACTTTAGTCTCCTAACTGGTTCTAGCATATTCCTACCAAGGAGAAATCAGTCTTTCTGTCATATACAAGTAGGATGAAGTACATTTTTTCAGTTTTTATTTTTAATTCACTCTAACACTGTGAAGTTAAATAGTTAATGTGTCCTCCTTTTCACCCTTTTCCAATTGTTCATGTCTTTTGCCTATTCAGTTATCTGGTAATCGTATTCTTAAGTATCTAATTGGTACTATGAAAGCATTGGTTCTGTTTTATCAGTTGCTGCATTAGAAATACTATTTTTCTCATTTTCTTCTCCATTGTCTTCAAAAAATATTCTTGCTACTAACTTCTGCAGTCAAATTTCCTGTTTTTAACAAGTCACCATCCATATAAGAATCTCTCTGAAGATTGGTACAGTGGTGGCCTCTAAAAGAAGTGAATAATGGATTTCTGTTTGTACAGCAGAACAGTTGGCATGATTTGAGACAGGCGGAATCTGTTGTGTATATTTGCATTTTGCATCATTCAATGAATCATTGCTGTCTTTTATGGAAGGTAACAAAAGCATTCATCATCAACAAATGTCCCTTTCTCTTGGAGAAAAATTGAATGGTTATTCATCTCTATTTTTAAAAAAAGTTCACCCAGTGTCACACTTTTTACAGATTATTTCATTTATGGGTGTCAGAAGCATGATTTGTGCTAATAAGACAATATATGATAGTTAATTTTATTTTTAAACAAGTAGTTTGATGTTCTCATAGCTGCCATTCATTGTTTAAAAGACTGATGTCATGCAGATATGGCTGAAAAAAACTGCTTTTGCTAACGTTCTGTACAAATTGAATACAAGCTTAGTTGTGTCTCAGATTTCTGATGTCTTTTGACAGTAAGATCATGGAATCAGAAGGAACTGCAAAAGTTATTTATCCCACCTCCAAATGAAGCATAAAATATCTTGCTTATATGACTCCAGTGACCTAAATCTTTAATAATTGATTCCTGTATTTTTTTATATTAAAGGGAGTGTTTTCACAAGTGTTGAATACCTTCTTCTAAACATTCTAAAATGCCTTATTAAGGGTAATTCTGCATTTGTGAATTAACTGTGAGAGCTTTCTTCTAACCCTGAAAAAAAGATAATTCCAACTGGATTGAATGACTTACATTTTCACGCCATTGAATATATGATATCAGTCAAGATTTCTTTTTACTCACAGTTAATTTTTAAAAAACTGTGCATCTTACTATCCACGTTCAAAAACCTTATGCAACCTAGTGCCCACCAGTTGAGTATCAATTTCTAGAAGGCCATGCTAGCATAATGTCTAAGATTTGTGGAGTTAAAATCCAATAGAAAAAATGGCATTTGGATGCTATTATTGCAGCTGTTTGGTTAAAGTTCTGATGTTACTTGTTCATGCTATGATGGACTAGGATTGCAATTTTCTGAATTTTGAACTAAAGGAATTCCCATTGGTTGGGAAATATAAAAGCTACAGTCCCAGCAGGAGGTCATTAAAAAAATTGCAGTTAAGATTGGCTGTTGGTCCTTTGGGTATTTCCTGGAGATACCTGACTAAACAGGAGATTTTAAGAACACAAGTTTAGGCCTGATGAATTTTGGAATTTATCTAACACAATCCTTACTTGACTTACCTGACTTAAGTTTTGCAAACTGTTTTATACATATACATTTTATATAACAAATCTTCAAAATAATAAATATCGGTTTTGCAAGTTGGTAGGTACTTCTTATACTTCCTCATCCCCAAGGGATATGAAAATTACTGCACAATTACTGTTTTAGAGCAATGAGAACAAATGATTTCAAGGATCCATTTGTAATGTAATGGCTGATGATAGCTTTTACCTGTGAGGAGGCTGTCTTGTATCTAAACATCCACACTGCCAGCTCTTAGTCTTACACTGACAGGGTAGAAACAATCTGTTTGATCAGACTTAAAAAGTGTGAAATGAGAAGTACTGCACTCAAGCTCATCTGATTCCACCAGTCCTTGAATGACACTGTTTTTGAGAAGGCATGATATGATTTGTTAAATCAGTAAACAGTATCTCTTTCCAAATTGTCTGAAGGAACTGAATGAAACATTTCTCACTGCTTTGTACTCAAACAGCAATTACCCATCTTGTTTGCTGGAGGAAATGCTCTGACATGCTCTAGTGCGCGTTAATTCTATTCCAAATTCTTGGATAATTATCTGTTTCCACATTTGACACAAGTAGGGATCAGCTTCATGATAATGTGAAAAGTTTAACATTTCTTCATGAAGACCAGCGAACAATCTCATTATTTATAGCAGCAAGGTCTCAGGTAATGTCAAATTAATAAAACCACATATATTGTGCTATTGGAACTGTGAAGAAAATTGAACTCTCTGATAGGAGGTGGGGGGGAATCACATTTTATGAATAGGAAAACAAGTGTTTAGTATTGAGACAACTATCATAATGACCAGAGGAGTCTAAAGTGTATTCCTCTGATAATACAAGGAAATTGTTTCTACAATTTTTTTCTGACACTAAAGAATTTGTGTAGGAGGAAAGAAATTGGAACATGAGTATTTATAACCTATAGAAACAAAACAATTTCCAGAAGTTGTCTGTAAATGGAGAAGTGTGTATTCATTAAACTGCCCTGGACACAAATATTAAGCACTAAGAGGTACTTAAAATTGCCTAATTCTTTAACGTTAGATTATAAAAGTAGATTATAAATATCATCTTTTTCTCTCCATAGAGTTAACCTTACATGTGACTGGAATACAGAAAAATGTTACACATCTCAATCCAGGTATTTCAGCATAAATATGCAATAAATCTGCAACACAAGCACTTAGCCCATTCTTTTCAATAACAATGAATACACATACTAAAACCTTCCCAAAATTAATATGAATATGGACCAGATTATCCATGTTTTAACGGCTCTCCTAAAACCTAACAAGGGTCCTAGTCTCATCTTACAAGGGAGTTTCTCTGATCTCCAAACAAACAAATAGATCATCAGACAAATCAGCGCAAAGTATCATTGAAGCATAAATAACCAGGTTCAAATTATCTTGCATGGATGTGAAGCCATAACTCTTTGAGAAGATTATAATGCTGAGAAAAGTAGAAGGAGAAAAAAAAAGAAGTTGGAATACCTGAAGGACCATGATCAGGAGACATTATCCTATCTATCTATCTATCTACCTATCTATCTATCTATCTATCTATCTATCTATCTATCTATCTATCTATCTGCTAGGAGTCAACACCAACTTAAAGATCACATGAAGTGTTAATACCACTTTATAATGGCTTGGTAAGAAGACATTTAAAATATTACATCCAGTTTTGGTCGCCATGATATAAATAAGATGTTGAGACTCTAGAAAGAGTGCAGAAAAGAGCAACAAAGATTATTAGGGGACTGGAGGCTAACATATACAAAGAACGGTTACAGGAATTGGGTATGTCTAGTTTAATGAAAAGAAAGACTGGAATGACATGATAGCAGTGTTCCAATATCTAAGGGATTGCCACAAAGAAGAGTGGGTCAATCTATTGTCCAAAGCACCTGAAGGCAGGACAAGAAGCAATGAATGGAAACTAATTAAGGAGAGAACCAATGTAGAACTAAGAATTAATTTCCTGATAGTTAGAATAATTAATCAATGGAACGATTTGCACCCAGAAATTGTGTGTGCTTCAACATTGGAGATTTATAAGAAGAGATTGAACAATCATTTGTTTGAAAAAATGCAGGGTTTCCTGCTTGAGGAGAGGTTGGACTAGAAGATCTCCAATGTCCCTTCCAACTCTGTTATTCTGTTAAATGTGAACATCTAATAGTTGGTTAACATACAGATGTATATCACTATAGTCACTGAATACAGAAAAATACATTGTAAGCTATATTTTAAGCAGTTTCCTATAATCAGGTCAATGAAACAGTCACATTTAAGGGATAATTTGGATAGTTTGAATTTTATTTCTTTATACTTAAATCAGCAATTTTTTTTCCATAGAAAATAGCTTGGTTTTAACAGAACTAAGTTATTGTTCCGATTTATTTAAATATTTACAAATATTTTGTTATGTAGTCATTCTTCAGATGGATATCTACCATGTCTAGAAAATCATATATTTTAATAAACAAAGGAACATTTTTGAAAAAAATAATGGTTTCTGTATTAGTTAATGTGTCAGTAATATTAATAACGTATTAAGCTGCCTTGATTTAGCCTCAGACATTTTTCTCACAGCTA